GTAAAGGAATGGATCAAATCCATACGTTTATCTGGAAAATATAATGAGAGATCTTGTATTTTCAAATACTGTAGGGACTGAAACCGTTATAATGAACAAACCATGGGGACCAGAATTGAAGTTCACTAAAAAAAGATACAAGGTTGGCAATGATGATGAAGTGGAGCGGGAACATGGTGGTAATGTAGGCCGGTGGCATCATGGCCCACGAATTCCTCGATCCTATACCGTTTAAAATTATGAATCAAGGGCGGTGATGGTGTCGCCATCCGAAGATGGGCCCACAAGTACGACCTTTTACTTTTTGAGGGTAAATATTGGTGTGACAGTGGATCATATCCCATTTGGATGTCTGCCTTTTACACGTAGTACACCTCGTGAGTTTGGGCCCCACCCCATCTGATTTGCCACGCGGGATTACAGTCATTTTCTCCATTCTTGTCTACCTTATATTTCTTTCTCTTAACAGTTTATCAAAATATTTAATTTTTATATTTTTTAATTATTAAACGATAATTTTATACTTAATAATGACATTATTTTTTCACCTCGTTGTTAAGTGTATGGTTGGGAAATGGATCTTTTTAAAAGCACTAGAAGAGTATTTGTACAATGCAGCGAAATATATTTCGATTTTAATATTTCGTTTTTTTTATCTCAGTCAATGTTATAATACAGTTTTATGTGGTTTTGAGAAAAAAATAATGTTTTCATTTTTTTAATAAAATATAAATATAAAAAGATATCATAAAAAATTGAAAAAAACATTGATATTTTTATAAAAATAATAATTAAGTATTTTGTTATAACTCAATGATTATTCTAATTATATTTTAGATTTTTTATATTTAAAATGAGATGTTTATCGTGTATTTGATTATGATTATCTGCAGTTAGTTACACCAATTTAGATATGAAGTTTTAATAAGTTGTACTTACGCACAATCTACTTGTAATCTTGAGTTTTAAGTAACATGCATAATTAAACAGTACTTTATACATAAAATGTGATTTTTAAGAGTTTTTGTCAAATGTTTTATAATATAGTATACATATAATTATTTTGGGACAAACTAAAATATAAAAACAGACATTTATTTAGAGACGGATGAAATATTTAATTTGATAGCATCAGATTGATAATAACTGTAAGATTTGAATCAATTGTCATATGTATTTGAATTAAACAGAATTCATTTTAAGGTTACGTGAATTACACTGCCTACAATTCAAAGAGGTGTGAAAACCTCTCCCTCTTCAGAATAGAAGAAAGGTTTGTGTGAATTCTACTGTCCACACCCTATCTCTATCGAATATACTGAATCTATTGGATTCGGTTTTTAGTTCAAAATGGTTAGAAATCCTCGCTAAAGATGATTTTTGCAATTAATGTTTCAGCAACATAAAACCATAAAATAAAGCTTGGATTTTAAACAAACCCCTATGTTATATACATACATAGCATTGTTGATTGAGTTAATTATGAGCATTGAACTCTAAAGCAATCATCTGGTATATCACTAGATACCTGATTTACTTCTCATATAACGTTTTTCAGATGAAACATAACAGTATGTAGTGAATCAAGGCTTGTAGTTACAAACACTTTTACACAAGAAAAATACATATATATATATATATATATATATATATAGAGAGAGAGAGAGAGAGAGAGATGGTTGTGTACAAATGAAGTGGTTGAAAAGTTGATGTCATTTTTTGTGTGTTTGATGATGGATGGAATGTAATGTGCATATTATGTGTAGTCAGAAATCATGGGTTAGGATTAGGAGTAGATGTAGCACATGCACATGCACATGCACATGTACATACACATAGATATGGATATGGATGGCCCATGACTCAAATGGACCAATGTTTTATGTGTATGAAATAATTAGCCATTTTAATCAAACAATTTGGTTTCAACCAATCCTTGTAAACAACAATTGAATGTATAATGATAAGGTTTAAGAATCAAATAATTGAATAAAACGAGATTCGGTTTTTAATCAGTTTCAGTTTATTCGGTTTGGTAACCGAGTAAACCAAATAAGAGTACATGTTCCTTTTGCAACAGATGAATTATATGATCAAACACAAAACATCGTCTCCTCATATCACATTGTACATCAAACAAAAACGTTATCGAGCATCAAGCAAGAAAACCTCACCTAGCAATATAATATAATATATATGGGAAAAGTCTAAAAAAATCCAATTGACTTTTGTGTTTTAAACGATTAAGTCCTTGAACAATTTTTTTTGAATGAATAAGTCATTAGACATATTCCAAAACACATCAAATTAGTTCTTGTTACCTAAAAACTTAACCTGCAACTTGCTGATCAGGTAGAATTTTTGTATAGTTTTGAACTATTTTAAAATTAAAAGTGTTACATTAAATGATACAGCCTTTCAATTTCTTTATTATTTCTTTTATGTTTTATTAAATTAGTTATTTTATTTAATCAACCTTTTATTCAATAAATCCAATATTTTTTAGTTAAATTTTTAAAATTATATTTTGTAACAATGATTATTTATTTATTACTTAATTATTATTTATTTACTATAATAACAATGTTTATAAATCAAAACTTATAAAAGTATCAAACTTTTTAAGTAATTTGTAATGTTATAATTTTTGTTTTACTTATTAGTATTGCAATAATGCTTATAAATCAAATATTATATTAAAGAGGTTTGTTTGTTTGTTATTTATTTATTTATTTATTTATTTATTTATTTTTCTTAGTAAGGTAATTAAAAAGAATTACTAAATGAGTACTTTTTGACATTTTTTTTTAATTTTTATGTACATTTTCTAATAAATTTTTTACAATATTTATATTTTTATGTTTAAATGATCATTTCTTTTTTATTTTAACATATATTTTTTTTGTTTATTTACATTTTTTTAGTAAATCTTTCACAGTGATTACCTTTTTATGCTTATTTACAATGTTTATAAATCATAACTTTTATTAAATGCATCCAGTACATTTTTATTTTTCATAGTTAGGACATCAAGAAGTGTTATAAGAAAGTCAAATGGTTGTATCGCAACCATAAATAGATTAAATGATGCAATTGAAAATTAGTTCATAACACGACCTTCAATTTAATATAAATTAGGCATTACTCGGATATATATTGGTATATGTTGCCGCAACTTTTGATATATTTTGGTGTATTTTGACGTATATTTTGAAGCTAATTTTTAGTATATATATTGACAATTTTTGTAAGTTTGGAAAGAGTAATGAAAATCGTATGATTCATTTGGTCTCTAAGGATTTATTTGTTAGAAGGATGTATTTAATATGTTTCAAAAAGTATAAGGATTTATTTAACAAGTTTTAGAAAGTCCAATAATTTATTCATTCAAAAAAATTGTCTAAGCACTTGATCATTTAAAACACAAAAGTCCATTAGGTTTTTTTAGATTTTTCTCTATATAAAATAATAACAGTATAATATTAGTCCGTTTATTTGTGTAAAAATATAAAATATATCATATACCAGTATAATGTGTTGCTTTGTTTAGCCGAAATAGTAAAAAAAAAAATGATTGCTCAAATGACTAGATCATTTAACCCAAAATCCGAATAACTCACCAAGACCGAAAGATGCACAAGGCCCAAGTTGTCACCTTTGGGCCAGCAATGACCTTCCAAGCCCATTTTCAGCAAGTAAAAAAGGTTCGAGCTTTTTCAGGCCCGACTTCGGATGTGACCGTCAAAAAAAGCCCGATGAGATTTTTTAGGTTTCTTTAACCATTTTTGTTCATTCTGGGCACTGGCATGGTCCATTAGTACAATGACCTGATCTCAACCAAGCTTCCAAAGATCAAATTGATATTAAAAAAGTAAATGAAGATCCAATTGTGGCACTTGGAGCAGCAACACACAAATGATCCAAAAGTAGAGATTGAAAGTACCATCAACCAAGTTTAATGGAGTTATAAGACTACTACACTTATCAAGACTATTAAAACCAAAATGCTCCATTTAAACACAAAACAAAATATCTATCATCATAACTTGCCACCGTTGCCACCGCTAAATTCCCAGCCAAATTCATGAGTGGACAGAAGATTGAACGGTGAATAGAAGTGGGAGTGGATGAAATCCTGCATTAGTAATCTAGCTAAGGCGTTTTCTTAGTACAGCTTCAGCACGCTGCTCGAATTTTGGTAGGACCCACTCATGCTGAACTATATCAAGACCGTCTTTTTCTGCACCCAAACTCTGTGTATACAATGCAAACGATTAAGATTTGTTCATCAATGAAGCAAAATGAGACGATAATGCCTAAGATTTCTGCCTACGAGTGTCATCAAGGAAGAAAAAGAAACAGCGAAAGTGAAACAACCACAAATACCCAAAATTTTGATAGTTTATACCGGAAGTTGAGAAGGGCACGATAGTTGGATTAGTGACACCCAGTGGCCTAAACATGGCTGAATACTGAAGGACTTAAGTCCATCGCTGCTTGTAACTCCATAATTAGGTTGCCAGCCAAATCTACCCAAACCAAACCAAAAATCAGTATATCCCACCCGAACACAGACCTTACGTCTTTATTTCCAACTCAGATTGCAAAAAAGGCCAGCCAAATCTATCCAATACATGTATTTTATCAAATTGAGCACATATTTATTCCGACCAGTTCCTAATTTTCTCGAATTCCGAATTCGAGAAAATAAATGAGAATTTAATATTTCGAATCACTTTTTATTAGAGAAAATCCTCTGTAAGATTGAGATGAAAACAAGAGAATTTGGATAAGAGGCTTGGGTTCCGTGAGAATGAGAGTTATGGTGAGGAGGGTAAGAAGGGATCTCCACCCTTGGATCAATCCTAATTGAAGAGTTCCGCTAGATCAGCACTAATGAGAAGCACTCGATCAAATTCCCTTCTAGAGCGCAATTCATAGGTTAGTTTGAGACTAAAAGTAATCAAGGGTCCAAATCCCTTCTTATACTTCTCACCTTAACTCCTGTTCTTACATGATCCTTCATCATGGATAAGATGCTTACTTTTATAAACTGATGTAAACTAATTTACTCAAAGGGATGGTTTAATTCACAAGCCTATTCATTGGTCCAAACAGATAACAGAAATATCAGTCATGTTTTCTCTGGCCAATATCATTTTGTCAAAAGAACCAAGTTTTAGATTAAAATATTTGTGCGAGATAATACACATGCTTTCAATACATGCACTTTGTTTCTTGTTTTGCAGAACATAATACCTAGCAAAAGATAGGGTTGGCTCCTAAACAGGATCAGGTGCCCCCCAAGATGCATATAGATGGATTTTCTAGAGATGTGTAACAAAATTCAACATAACCCTTCCAACCACCAGCAAAAAGTGAGATATGGTACAATATAAACCACATTTCCTCTGCCTTCTTCAAGCCTAGCAGATCAAACCTATCAAGGATCCATTTTGAGGTAAGGATATGTGGAAGGCAAGGGTGTGCAACTGCTTTTCATTAAAAAGGCTAAATGTCCCACAAAAAAACATAGGCCTAGAAAAAGAACCCCAACAGCATATATCATATGATAGAACCATTTAATACCTTGGACGGATCAAAGCCAAATCCACTCATTTGCATCATCCGCTGTGTATCATCTGTGGCTGCATTATTAAATCATGTTAAATTAAATAGAATTTCATAAAATTCAATAGCAAGAATAGGTGTCAATGAACTCTTAATAGATGCTCAGTGGAATTAAAGGCGTAAGCAACTGACAGGATAACTAAATAGAAACTAGATGTGCAGAACACATACTAACCATTTTCCTCTCCCAGAATGAGACTAAATAAACCTCTCAACCCGAACAGATTAAGGAAGTACCTGATAAAAGCAAATTTACCGTCAGCAACCTTAGATGTATGACTCACGGAACAAAACTGGAATATGTTATTTTCAGAAGAAAAAAAGCATCTACTTCATAAATCCATAACGGCATACCAAGAGCGACTGCTAACATAGCTGACATCAACAGTACTCAAGTCAATCCCGTTCTGTAACATGGATCTAAACCTCTGAGTCAATGGAAAAGGTATCTTTGCTGCAAAAACACATGAATCAAGATGCTGTCATCATCAGAACAAAGTAAAAAGGTACCAAAACCGACATCAATATCATACAATCAATCATTATATCAGGAGGCACCGAGGCAGTTACTATTGGCATGCACAATTCGCACAACCAAAATGAAGTGGAAAAAGTACTTCACAAAAGAAAAGTAGAGTAGTTTCCTAGGATATTCAATGTAAATAATCACATAGAAAGAAGAGCAAATTATAAGTTAAAGAAGGTAAATCCACAAAATTGAATTCCAGGTGTAAAACAGAAGCAAAAAGGGAAATACCTGCTACAAACCCAGAAAAGAAGAAGTTAACCCATGCAAAAGTGAGGGTCTGGCAAAAAGGGGAGGGAGAATAGGATCAGATCCCATATAAAGGAAGTTTAACTCAGCAAAACTGTAGCGTGTGTAGAGAGGGAGAAAAGCAGCAGCACTTATGTTAAAAGATGTTGATTAACAATATAAAACAGCATACCTGTGGTATGATCATTGAAAGATTCTTCTTCATCATATCCATGGCCATGTTTGGATCAGAGAACATTTGTGCCTGTGGATTCTGAGCCTGGCCCTTGGGAACATGAAGTAGACCGTTATCCTGCAAAAATAGAGCAATGTCATCTGATTTACATATGCATTGGCATGCATTGAAACATAAAGGCTTCAATTGTGAGCTAATCTTAAAATAAAGTTTTGAGGATTCTCAAAGGAGAGGAATCCTTTGGATCTTCCTGCTAAGACTAAAAAAGGGTAGAACTTTATACATGCAGCAAATATAGTGAAAGCTTCTTTTACAATCGAGAATTACATAAGATGACAAGGTGAGCCTCGAATAGAATGATGCAGTATATGCCTAATAGGAATTACTTGGAGAAGGGAGAAACATTAGAAAATGCCCAACACATGGTCACCCAAATATTCTATGAGGAGCATGAGACAAATTGGGAGACTTCGTAGTTAAAATGATTTCTGCACAACAAATGTGGCACAAAGTAATATCATGATCAGCTTGTGGCTAGCTCACTTGCAATGTAGGCTGTTTATGCGGTTAAGCAACCTAATTATCATCACCACTGATCTATGTTGTAAACCCGCTTCAATAATAATACAATACTTATAACCCATTTCAAAATCACAAACATCCAAACTAAGAAATGAATTTAAGATGTTGTTTGGTTGGCAAAATTCAAAGAATTTCAAGGGAATTGGAATGATCAATTCATTTAACCAAATGCCAATTCCTTTGGTTGGTCACATTTTGAAATGGATGGAATCCTTTGAATTCCACAAATTAAAGAATTCATTATTCCTTGGTATAAGTGGAGGAATTTAATTACATCAATTTGCATCCAATTTAACAAATACTACCCACCTCTTGCCTCCATCACGACCAAGCTACCACTGTCACTGCCTCCATCCATTTACCCCCACCTCTACCACATCACTACTATCGCCATCACAACTGCCACCCATACCACGGACCACCATGCCACTATTGTTGTTGTCACTCACCCCCCGCCACCCGACCAACATTGTGGGGTGGTAGCGATGACGACAACAGCAGTGGCATGGTGGTCGGCGGGGAGGGGATAGGGATGGGATGGGTGTGGCAGTTGTGATGACAACAGTAATGGCTTAATGGTAGCGGTTTGGGTGGGTGGTGGGTAGGGGTGGGTCGGCGTGGTAGTTGTGACGACAATAGTAATGGCATGGTGGTCAGTGGTCAGTGAGGTAAAGGTGGGAGTGGGTATAGTGCGACCCCCCCCCCCCAAACCACCAATACCACCAGGCCACTATTGTCATCATCAGAGGTGCCACCCCCACCTCAGACCACCAAGGCACTAATGTCATTGTCATGATTGTCACCCCTTAAACAAAGATGGAGATATTAATTCTTTTGAGATATTCCATTCCAATTCCTACCAACCAAACACGTGTCAAATTCCATTCCAATTCCTTTAAGTCAAATCCCTTTGATGGATTCCAATTCCACCAAATTCCATTATGCAAACCAAAAGCCCCCTAATAGTTATGATGGTTTGGGATAAGCTTCAGCCACCATGAAATAGATAAATTTAAATCAATTACCCAAAACATGACGTCAAAATTCAGCAACATGATAGCTCTAGTTCCATTTTTCACAATAAGACCTGTGAATTACAATTAGAACTATTCCAGCAAATGATTCATGAATTTCTTAAAATCATCCTTCACTGTTGCTAATATATCTTAAATTCAATCCTTTTATGGAGGAAAAGTGGATTATTTCCTTCAATTTAAAGAGGGTAGATTCAACCAAAAAATTCCTAAATCCCTCAATTCAACCAACAATTAATATCAAAACACTTAAAGGTAAATCAAAAAGGCATACCTCATTCGTATAATATAACTTCCGAGCACGAAATGCCTTCGCTGGTATAAAATTAGCAGCTGCCCGGAGGTTTCTAGCCCTGATTATAACTTGCCTAAAAATCCACAATAAAACAAAATCAAAATCAAATTCAGACAGAGCTTATCGACTATCGATACATATTCATATAAACAAAAAGAATTAACTAACCCTTCTTTGATGATTTTGGCATCGGGCAATTGAGAAGTACGCATGAGCTTGGAGACAAAGTAACGAAGTACTCCGATGAGAACCATAACTACCGATAACGGTATTAGCACCCAGTCTCTGATCGCGGTGTCCAACACCAATTCCTCCGCCATTGTTGATTGATCTGATTCCTCTGTAGATCTCTTTCTTGTATACCCCAAAATTCAGAATCAGTGTGTGTTCAGTTGATCAGTAAATCCTTTGTGCCCCCAATGGCCGTCCGGCGTCGTATTATTTCATAATTGGGCCACTCTAAGCCCAAAAAATAATAAGGTCTATTTATTTAAAAAATATTATATATTATAACCCGAACTAGAATCATGTTAGAACAGACTGTTTTCGTGAGATTCGTAAAACCATTTAAATAATACTAAATCTTCACAGGAAAACTTTGTTTTTATTGTGAAGGTTTGCAGATTTTTGTATTTTTACAGTGTTGTGTTGTGAAGTTTTAGTGTTATTTTATGGTCTCATTGTATTTGTAACTAACTTCAAAATTTATCTAAATATTAAAGAACATGATATTTAAGTATATAATTTTATGGTCGGTTTCACGTGAGACCAACATGTTTTTGTAAGACTCATGAGATCAACATGTTATTATGAGATCGTGAGATATAAAAAACATTGAATTTTCACATCAAAAATTTGTGAAGGTACAAAAAGCACCGAACATTCATAACAAAACATCATGAATGTACAAACCTTCACAACAAAAATATTGTGAAAGTTTACCTTCACGGTGTTTTGTTTTGAATGTTCAGTGTTATTTTTATGGCCTTACAAAAACAAACTGGTCTCACAAGATTTCAAATCTAAAACTTTAAATTGGGTTTTAGTTAAATTCATAATCTTCTCATCATATATATATATATATATATATATATATATATATATATATATATATATATGTGTATCATTATTTTATTTAATATACACTTAATTAATTCATCATCCTTATATTTTCTTTCCTTTAATAAGGTAATAATGTGTCTTTATATGATTAGATAGTGTTTGATAAGCAGACATGATATCATTCAATAGGATTGGACAGGAGGACTGGACATGACAAGAGAGCAAGACTGGATGGGAGAGGGTTAGACAGAGCAAGTGTTTGTCTGATACTTGATACGACTAGGACTTGATATACCAAATTAGGGATTTATATTTTGTTTCTTAGCGGTTTAATGGAACTCACAGCTTATTCAATCAGCTATACATGATTGTTTGGCAATGGCTTAATGATATATAAAGTGACTTATTCAGTAAGCTTCTAGGGGAGTTCTATACGGAAAGTTGAGTTTTTTTTCTTCCAAACATGTCTCACCTAATTAAGAAACATGTTCATTCTATCTATGAAAAAACTCTTAGGGGCTGTTTGTTTGGCTCTTAATGGTGACATTAAGAGCCAACCTCTTAATCGGTAAGAGGTAAAAGTTGTTTGGCAAAAAAAAGCCTCTTAATGATTACATGACCCTCTTAACCATTTTGTGTCTAGGACTTCACTCAATCATTCAGATATCATTTGTTCCATCTTTACCCTTCCCACTCCTCTCTTCCAGCATCACAATCCTTCCCTCTCTTCTAGCGTTGCTTTCACAATCCGAGGAGTCTTCCAGCGTCGCCTTCACGATTTCCACCGTCTCCATCTTCGGTCACCTTCACCGTCTCTATCTCCGGCCTTCCACAGCTTCGCCGGTTGTCGCCTCCACCGTCTCCATCTTCGGCCTTCCACAGCCTTCTACTATAGCCGCTTCACATCGCATCCCCCACGATCGTCGTTCTTCCGTTCACCATCCTTCCCCCCCCCCACTATCGTCGCTTTTCCGGTCGTCTCCTCCGGTCGCCGTCTTCCAGCTGCTCCTCCGGTCGCCGTCTTCTAGCTGCTCCTCTTGTCGCCGTCTTCCAACTGTTCCTTCGTTCGGCCTACTGCTTCCTACATCTGCTTCCTATACCTTCCTTTTCCAAGTATTTCATCGCCTCCCCTACTGCTTCCCTCTACCAGATTAATTAGGGCTATTTGTTAATTAGGGCTCGTACGTTAATTAGGGTTGTTTGTATGTAGGATGCGTTTTAAATGGGTATATGCGTAGGTCTGTTTGTTGTATATGCATAGTTCTGTTTGTTGATAAATGGGTATATGCATAGTTCTGTTTGTTGATAAATGGGTATATGCATCATGATTTTGCTGTATATACATCATGATTTTGATACATCCTAACATGGTAAGCTTGTTCATAACTTGGTTGTGAAATCATAATGATACATCCTAACATGGTAAGCTTGTTGATAAATGGGTACTTGCATCATGATTTTGCTGTATATGCATCACTTGGTTGTGAAATCATGATGATACATCCTAAATCTTTCAGAGGGTTAAAATGGTAATTTATTGTCATTCAGAGAACAGTTACCAAACAACATTATTTCATTCAACACTTAACCATTCTGATCCTCTTAACCATTCTGACCTCTTCACTATTCTGCACTAAATCATTCAACAACTGCCAAACAGCCCCTTACACAAAAATCTCACTCTATATAAACAAATTGATCAACACAACAACTTTATCTATACAGGATTTAAGGGTTGTTTGGTTGGTTTTACATTAAGTTCTATATGGATAAACCTATTTGCGTGGCTTAATTTGTCTTTGTAGATTGGGAAAGTTTTTATTTGGAAGGGTATTAAATAGACAAAAACGTGCTTTTGATTGGAAATGACATGTTTGAAAAAAAATTGGCTTTCTGTATAAAGTTCATTCCTAAAGCTTACTGAATAAGTTACTTGCTATATCATTAAGGCACTATCAAATAGTCTAGTATAGTTGGTCAAATAAGTTGTGAGTCTCATTAAATGGTTAACGAACAAACTCTTAATAGAAAACCAGCCAAACAGGCTCTTACTCATATACATAATCCGTTTTAACAAAAAAAGGTTCAAAAACCACAAATTGGAAATGTGTATAACTTCCACCATTTTAAATGTCGTCGTCGAAACTGCCACCCCTACCCATCCCAACACCACCAATACCACTAGTGTCATCGTTACAGTCGCCACCCCTACCTACCACCATGATAGTAACATTTTCGTCACAACCACCATGCCCACCAATCAATATTATCATTATATCATATTTATGATCTCAGAAAGAAAAAAAACATGAAAATTGGAATAAAAGGGTATTTGGATTTCATTCCAATTTTGAAACTAGAGGAGACAACAACTAGGGATTTTGACAACACACACTTTTAGTCCAAGATTGAAAGCTCAATTCCAAGAGCTGAGCTGAGCTGAGTGATACAGCTACAAGCCAAAGCCTAGGAGAATTGTGATTCATGGATGATACAAGGGCCATGAGCAACAGCATCTTGTTCTTTAAATCATCTTAATCGTTCAGCTCGTAAAACACAAACTTCGGATTTGCTCTCCATACGTTACCGGTTCAAGTTTGTGAAGGGTCTTCCGTTCAGGCTCTAAGGGGCCATGAGATTAATCAAGGTAGACTCTTGGACACCCATGGTAAAAACTTTAAGCAAAATGAAGCAATTACACGATAAAAAGCCTAAAAAGGGCTCCATTGAAGACTAATCAAACTACATTGTATCCAAGGTTAGGCATTTACAAAGGGAAAACAGCTAAACATAAGATCAAGAAAACCATATCCATATCCAGTCACATTTCGTTCAACTTCTACATAAAACAAGTTGCAACCCATGTTACGATCTAATCATGTCAGCGAAACCATCAAACACCCAAACTTTTTAGAAAACAAAAAACTACGACTTTCTTCACAGGGCATATGTCAGACCAACCATTAACTATTAGGCGGTGAATTCCTTTGCATATCTGAAAAAACATAAACATCAACAAATCCATCAGTAGTCGAGTAAACTTCAAACCACAAGCATCTAAAACATCTTCATACATCTACAATCATAAACAGAACAAACCGGTAAACCAAACCAAACAAACACAGTGTATCCCACACACAGGTAGGGCCGGAGGAGGTAGGATGTATGCAGAACTTCCCTCCACCCCACGGGTAGACAGAGTTTAGGGTTTAGGGCTGTAAATAAAAATGCAACACTGACAACTAGTAGCGCAAAATGAAAAGCTCAGGACAAAAAAGCAGAAGCTAGGTTAGAACAAAGAAGGAAAACGTAAAATACAGTACCGGAAGATTAAAGGGCTAAAATACGCACCAGTCCATGTAAGTTGATAACACTATTGCTTGAATAAATGGTGTCGGACCAATAACTCAGGTATTCCCATTGCAGAAATGCTTTCACATCCAAAGAGCTCCCGAAGCTTTGCATCACATAGGATCATCACTGGATTTTGAGGATCCTATCATCAAAGAAACAAGGAATAGAAAACAAGTTCACCCATCTGTAAGTATGGAAGAATAGTATCAACTTGTGCTGTTTGTATTACTCTAATACAAACATCAGAAATAGATGTAGTCATGGAAGCCTACATATCACTTCGAATTTTCAAAAAGCGCACCACAGGTTCCTTATTTCCCAATGAAATTTACCTGAAATAAAATGCTGCTGCTTGTCTACTGAATTCAATTTATCACATTACTTTCAATGAACTGAAAGCAGCATACATGTAAGCATACATGAAAAAGAGTCTTTGTTGGAGGCCACAGCATAAAGAAATATGCATGTAATCGCATTCTCTGGTCCAATTGCCATGACATGACAAGTTTTTGGAGGCCACAGCATAAAGAAATAAGCATGTAAATATATTAGAACTCTTTCAGTTTGTGGCGTCTTGGATGTTGCAATGCCAAAGTACTTTCGGTCGGCCTCTTGCCTCCCTTCATTTGTACCTCCATTAAATCTTCCTGAATCAGTGAATCCTATTCAATGCAATTCTCAACTTTATATACATACATATATCATATATGTAAGTGTGTGTATACATATATAGTGTGTGTGGACTCACACGTGAACACATTTATCACATTGAAAGTTGCATTGAGTAGGATCTCGGAAGGATCTGAACTGAGGCATAAAGAGAGGCGAGAACGACTTGATTCCTTCTGTTTCTGTGGCATTGTTCTGGCTTCTAGAAAAAAGAAATTATCTATCAAGTTCTTCACTCAAAATATGCTGATTATAGCAAAGATTGACTGAAGAACATGGGCTATATTTCACAAACTAGCTGATAGCTAGCTGTTAGCAGATAAACTAACCATGTATGGTGAAAACTAATGTCGAAATATATATCGGAATGGGAGAAGGTGGAAAATAGAACTCATGGAGCTTATTGAAACAAACACTACTTGAAGTAGGCTTTTCTAAAAGATAGCTATAACATAAAGGATTTTTTGAAAAATTGAACTAGCTAATGGTTGCCAAACTGGCTTTTCAATAAACAGGCACCAGAAAATCTGCCCTTTTCACCAGACGCTAAATTCGCTTTAGCTAGCTACTTAGTTGCAGATCTGCTATAGTCAACAACTTGATCAATCTCTTCCCATGTTAACTGTTGTTCAATCTGTCCTTGAGATGTCAACACTGATGGCAATATTTTCTTATTTATCATTCTTTCAATAGTCAACAAATTTTTTAGAAGCGTATGTCCAGATGAATGTTGGATTCATTTTGGGATGCAAGGATTAATACCTACAGATAAAGCAAGTTATTTCATACCTCAAGGTTATTAACCTTTATGTACTCCCAAACAAGCCTCAAAGCCTCCGATTGGGACATTTCTCTTTCTCCAGTACCCAGACAGTTGGCAAGTGCATCAGAAATTATAACTTGACAAGGAACATTATCTGTACTTTCAGCTTTAGGCTCGACTATTGGTTCAACTTTGACCTTCGATCTTTTACGAGATGATTCTTCTGCAATATTCAACGTATGGTAATATCACATTCAAGGAAATAATGGCTATATTAGAAAAATACGGCATAATTTATTCATATCCCCTTTTACATACTTGTAGGTTCGAGTCGGATGATATGCTTGGCAAGCAACTTATTCATCTTGAACATATCAGTGCAATCAGTTTCAAATACAACACGCAAGGCATCATCACAAATTATCTTTCTCTTGTTGCCTGGATCCTGGAGGTTGTTTTTCTTAATGTATGCCCATAGCTGCTTCACAATCTGAACACGATGAACATTCAAACGTTTAGCAACATGATACAGTACTGTATCCCTATTAATGCTATACTACAGTCTCTTCACTTGAATGGGTAAGATTATGTATATTATGCGTTTCCCATCATGAAGCCAAAGTTATACATAAACTACATGATCAAAATACATTATGTCCTTAGAAAATTATGCATTGCTTAAGCTGTGAATCATACATCAGTCCTTGATAATGCTGACTCGCCAACAATAACTTGAAGCTCAGGTGTAATACCACAGAGTTTATTAAGGCCCCCTGGTCCACCTCTTCTTTTGGTTCCTGCTGAACCCCTGAGATGACATGAAAACAACAGCATGGGGATTAAAAGCGTTCCCATTTCTAGTTGCCAATGGCCAATGTTCAACCATTGATATATAAGGCATTATTCATGTTACAGTAATTGTCTCTCATAATGACCATGGTGCATATTGGACTTGTATGCCTATATTTGGCAAATACATGAGAAGTCAAATGCTAATAATAATGAATAAATATTAACACGCATAATCTTGATCAAATTTATATAGGTAGTTGCTGCCTATTTTAATCCTGAAATAGAAGATGCAAGAACATATTAACTGTTGCTACAAGAACTACGATCATGCTAGTTTATAAGTCCCAACTGCCATGCCAACTACATTTTAATATGCTTAAGCCCTCTGGGAGCGCATTAACATAGTAACAATTTAACATGGTATTTCCTTCATGTCCATGGTAAAGCTTTGGCAAGAACAAAACCACCAGACCATATTTATTACCATGAGTTCTGCAAAGCGTTACACTTGGTAGGCTATGAGCTTAGTATTAAATGGTGAAATTTAAACACATTCCTTATCAATACTAACCAAAGTTAAGACCTAAAAGGAAGCATAATAGAGAAATGGGTTCAAACAAAGTGAAAGAACTCTATAAATTATGTTGCATAAAAGAACCCACTCTAAGATGGATATCTGTTGAACAATCTTCACTGTAATCAGAAAACAACATCAAGCTTCATGAACAAGATTCGAGGTCCATAATTTATGAATGCAATGTAGATTTTCATGTTTCTTTGGATCACGGGACTCCATACTATGATAAGATAGATGCCATTGGCTCCAACTATCCCTCAAATTGTATATTTCTATTTATTTTTACTTTCGGTTAGAAGATTTGTATCAAGCAAAATCCTCATGCTTGTCAATGCCTAATGTATACTGATAACAGTTTCTCACATTGGCAGTGCCTAATATCAGTCTCTGGTCTGAAATAGTCCCATTCTTCTTACATGATTATGACCATCAAACTTCATAATCTTTCTTGCAACACTTTCCAAGTTTATACAGTCTCATCCTATTTACAAACCCGACAAGCTGCACATGTGAACATCATTTTCATTGACAATTCTCTCATCCCACATTTCTTTTAAGTTAACCTAGCTCATTTCTAGTACTCCCATCTTTTAGAAAATGTTGCACTTCAAAATGATGACTTCAAGAAAAGAGCTACAGTTCCCACTTCAGGATGCTATAAGAAAGATGCTTCCACCATCCCCGTGAAAATTGCAACCCTTGACTTGTTTCAAGAGTACTCGTCAAAGGCCTTAAAACACCCTTAAATATGACAAAACATGGGAATCTTGTGAGCATAAACCAATATCATTAATTATTTGTAAAGATGGCAATGAGTTGGAGAAATAATTTTAGTCCAAAAGTGATGAACAATTGAAAATTTTGCAACTTCGAGGGTGCGAAGAAACTAACTTCTATTTCTGGAGTACAAGTATAACAAGTCATATTTGGGTAGTTAGGTAAAATAAAACATAAAACACATGAGGCCTTTCGTCTAATCAATAATTAAACTGAAGATCCATGGCAAATGTATCATTTTTCTAATGAAGTAAACCAGACGGGAAAGTGTAAACCTTTCTTTCAAGAGGGGGCAATAATAATTAAACTCTTGAAGTCCAAAAATTTATATCCTACTTAGACGTATTTCGTACTAATTAGCTACGTATTTCGTACTAATTGGCTACGTATTTCGTAACCCTAACCCTAACCCTAACACACGGACAAACAAAAAGTTATTTGAAACATTGATTCAAACTGACAAAAATAGATTAGAGAAGTACCCTTTTTTGGCCTTTTCAGACGATTTGCCAACCGCATCCTGAACAACAACTCCTCCCTCAGTTTTCACCTCCGGTAACGGCTGCACTTGTGTCGGCTGAGGCGAAGGAGAAAGCACCACCGCCTGTGACGGTGCCGTAGGCTTACTGAAATTAAGCTCAACAGGGTGACGCTGACGTTGTTGTTGTCGCTGCTGCTGCTGCTGTTGTTGTTGAAGGGCGAAATGGGGATGGTGAAATTGAGGCGGAGGCTGAGGGACATGAGGCTGTGGTTGGCCAAAATGATATTGAGCATGTTGTTGCTGTTGTAGGGCAAAATGGTCCTTCGCAATTCCCGAGGTAGTGACGGGCTGAGGAACGGAGGGCTGCGGCGGCGGCGGCGGTGGTGGTGGTGGGTTGTGGTAGTGAGATTGCGATCGAAAGAGAAGGAGATTGATTTGGTCACGGATGAAGACGGCTTTATGAGACAAATCAAACCCTAATTTTTCTCCAAGCTGATGAACAACATCGCTTAGGGTTGTGAATGATTTAGGGTCGGATTGACTGAGAAGAATCTCAACTCCTTTAGCTATCTCTTGGTCGGACACCATGGCTACTCTCTTTCACATATATAAAAATATACACAATTTTACCGAATTGATTTTCCCCTCCCTCTCTCTCTCTCTCTCCCTCTCTCTCTCTGTGAGAAACTTTCTCTCTCTATATCTCTCTCTTTCTCTCTCTATATGTATCTCTTTCTCTCTCTCTCTCTCTCCGCTCTCCTCTCGTTATCTTACCCTCTTTTATTTATTTATTATTTTTTTTTACCCCTTTTATCTTGAGTACAATAATATAACTATTTGATTTAATTTTAAATAAGTATTTGTTTCTCAATAATAATTTTTAAATGTGAAATTTAATAAAAATTATTGATATTCAAATATCTACGTTATCTTATTATTATTATTATTATTATTAGAAGGATACTCATACAATGCAGTAATATATATCTCGATTTTAGTGTTTCGTTCTTTTTTATTTTAATTGATGTTATATTACTGGTGTGATTTTTATCATCCAACATCGTAACCATTTGATTTTATATGGTTTTTAACGACTTCCTAAATACACATTCGTTCTTGCTAGTTTGACTAGTGGTCCTTGGTTTACATCTAAGGCGGGGCTCGATTAAGGAATGATTAATAGTCTGTTTTAATCGTCAATTATTTACCATTTTTTAACGTTACGTTATGATCTATAATAAAGGAATAATATCAATAAGCAATGCAATTGAAGCACGGGTTTCATACGTTCAAAAAAGATAGAACAAAGAAACGAGGATGACCGATGTAAATTTTGATTAAAATGGTTACAACATGATTTGTTAATAAATCTGTATGTAACCCACTGCACAACATAGTGTTTTTGCATCATTTGTTATGTGTTGAAGGTTGTATGGGCATGTTGTCAACTCTTTACGGAAACTTTATCCAGCTCTTAATTCGATAGTTAATGCTTTTGTTTCAAAATGGGGTTAAGCCAGTAAAAATTATGGCTCGTTTCTCATCTGCTAATTGAATTGGTGTTTCTTTTGTTGTTGTATAAGGATACGTATCGAGCCTTTCCTTGATTTTGTTGAACAAGGTTTTGTTGGTGATATACATTTAATAATGGTTGTAACTTTTTTCTGGTAACCGTGAATACATGTAATATAACCGAACATTAAAACTAAATACCAACCTGTCAATTTGTTGCATCATGGTGATACTGGTGTTTATAGTTGTTTTTTTAATTATGAATGTACAAACTAACTTACACATATCTTAACTGATTTTATAAAATCTTAAAAAAAGACAGTCAATAAAACCCTCTCTAACTTTGAAAAAACTCAAACCAGTGAATCGTAGTAAACGATCAGACCCATTTTTAGGTGGGTCTTGTTTGCATGACCCACACGTTACTACAAATAACCCAAAAATAAATTAATGAAAATATACGATATAAGGGTGTTTGGGATTGTTTATTTAAAATAAATTATACTTTTTTGTAATAGTGTTTATCAATTTATGTGATGTTAAATTGAAGTTATTATAAAAAATGCTTATATCAACTTATAACGGTACCAAAACATAATAAAATAAACTGATAAATATTTTTTTCCCTTTCAAACATTAGGGGGTGTTTGATTCAGATAATGGAATTTGATTGAATTAGAATACATCAAAAGAATTTGACTTTGAAATAATTGAAATGGAATTTGTTGGAAATTGACCACGCATTTTAGTTGGTATGAATTGGAATGAAATATCTCAAAAGAATTGGAACAATCGTATTTGTTTGGACTATCGCACTCATCGCCTCGCCCACATCCTACCAACCACCATGTCACTATTGTCGTCATCACATTTATCGCCCCACCCCTACCCAAACCCTGCCCCCTACCACTCTTATCCACCCCTACTTCGTACGTGGGGGTTGTTAGGGGAAGGCAGAGTGGTAGCTGTGACGACTACAGTGGTAGGATGGTGGTTAGTGGTGGGTTGGAGTAGGGTAAGGTGGGGGTGGAG